CGGCAAAGGCCAAGCAGTCCAGGGACAGGCTCGCCCTCACTTCTGCCGCTTGTAAATCTTCTGTGCCAGCCCCAGGAAGATCTCCCTGGGGAGGCGGTTGGCATGTTGCCCGATCAGCTCCTGCAGGCGCTGGTAGCTCTTCTCCTCATACTCCTGAAAAGCAGCCCTCATGCCCAGAGCCTCATAGAGCTCCTTCACCTTTGCCACCTTCTCAGGCTCCTTACAGCCATAGTTCTCCTGAGAAAACACCAGAATAAGAAGCCAGGCTGAGGTCAAGCTCACGGCCACCACAGAAGCCACCTCTTGTTCTCCCTGCTGCCATCCTGCTCTACTCACAGCCACCAAACCGTGTCCCAGCCAGGCAGCAGCACGGTGCAGCGACATGGGGTGGCACGTGGCTTTTCATGTGTATGTTACAGCACTACACTCCCTCCACACCACATCCTGAGGGAGGGAGCCCCCACCACCTCTCCCTGGTGGAGTTACCTCCAGGATCCGCCTCTGGTCCGGCGTGACCCGACGGAGAGACTCCACCACCAGCCAGCTGCACTTATTGTCCTGGATATCAGTGCCAACCTTCCCTGTCAGCTTCGGGTCCCCAAAGCAGTCCAGGTAATCATCCTGAACAGAGATAAAAACACAGGAGCACCACAACCAGCATCTTACAAGCCTTGAGGGACAGGGATTCGCCTCCTACCTGGATCTGAAAGAATTCACCCATCTCCAGCAAGATTGCTTTGGCATTGTCATGCTCCTCCTTATTGTCAATACCAGCCTAAGAGAGGGTAAAGGGAATAAAGCCTTCCAGCACCTCCCCTCCACCCTTCTTTCTCCCATCTCCCACCCCCCTGCCCTCCTCGACAGCCTCAGACTGAGGGTTGGGCCCCTCCAGAGGCCATTTCCATACCACTCACCATGTACATAGCAGCGGCCACAGGCAGGTAGAAGGAGTAGAACGCCGTCTTGTACTTCACAATGGCTTTATACCTGCAGTAGAGGAACCACACTCAGTGACAAAGCCCAGGCCTTCCCTTCCCTCCACAGACAAGGGCCAGCAGGAGAAACGCAGCAGATCCCTCCAAAACAGCCCCTGAGCTCTAACAGCATGAACAAGGCTCGCTCCCCAAGGCCTGGTAGGCATGAGCAGTGTTTCATAGAATCATAGAATTTCCCAGGCCGGAAGGGACCTCCAAAGGTCATCTAGTCCGACCCCCCCGCAGTCAGCAGGGACACCCCCAACTAGACCAGGTTGCCCAGGGCCTCGTCGAGCCTCTCCTTGACTATCTCCAGGGAAGGGGCCTCAACCACCTCCCTGGGCAACCTGTTCCAGTGCTCCACCACCCTCACAGTGAAGAACCCTCTCCTCATCTCCAGTCTAAATCTGTTCCCCTCCAGCTTGAAGCCATTTCCCCTCGTCCTGTCACTACAGGCCTTTCTAAACAGGTTCTCCCCAGCCTTCCTGTAGGCTCCCTTCAGGTACTGGAAGGCTGCTATTAGGTCTATTAGGTTTCAGCGAGCCCCTGTCTCTCACACAGTCTGGAGGGGGCTGCAAACAGAGCCGCCCTGCCACAGCTGGGCTGGCACCTCTGTCCTCTTCCACTTCTTTACCTCTGCTCACTGAAGCGATTCAAATCCACCTGGGAAACAGGAGCAGTGATGAGGTCCAGCATCTGCCCAAGCTCAGTCTGGTAGGCAGTCTGAAGAGGAAAGACAGGATTTATTAACACAGTTCCCAGAGCACAGTGAAAACCCCAAACCCAAGTCCCATTTTGGCTCCTCTGAATCTGAAGGAAGGCTGCACACCTGGCAGAATGATCCAGGTACTTAAGGAACAGTCTGAGATCCATAGGCCTGTTTGACAGGCTGAGATAGTTGGGGGGGGGAGGGGAGAAGAGAAGGCTCCAGGGAGACCTTGGAGCCCCTTCCAGTCCCTAAAGGGGCTCCAGGAAAGCTGGGAGGGGACTCTTGATCAGGGAGGGGAGCGATGGGACAACGGGGAAGGGTTTGACACTGAAAGAGGGGAGATGGAGCTGCTATGTGGGGCAGAAGTTCTTTGGTGTGAGGGTGGTGAGAGCCTGGCCCAGGCTGTCCCGAGAAGCTGTGGCTGCCCCATCCCTGGAGGGGTTCAAGGCCAGGCTGGAGGGGGCTTGGAGCAACCTGGGCTGGTGGGAGGTGGCCCTGCCCAGGGCAGGGAGGGGAACTGGGTGGTCTTTAAGGTCCCTTCCAACTCAAACAATTCTGTGATTCTGTGAAACCTCCAGGAAGGGCCCAGACACAGGGCAAGCCTGCAGGAGGGGGACGCAGGGGCCAGGCTCACCTGCAAGAAGAGCTCCAGTAGGTGCAGGTAGTAAGGGCGCTCCCCACAGTACTTCTTCAGCAGCCGGTAGACAGATGACTCGAGGAGGAAGGCATCATTGATGGCATCCAGCCCGATTCCCTCCTGCACCAGGAGGGCAGAGTGGTGTCTCGGCACACCCCCCCGACCCCACAGGACACCCCCCGGGGGGCAGGGCTCTCCCAAACTCTCTCACCTTCTTGTACCAGCAAGGCTGCCCCCGCCGGGTGAGGGACGCGTCCATGATGTCGTCGGCCACCAGGAAAAAGGCTTGGAACTGCGAGAGGCCGGGTCAGCGCCGGGGGTCGCCCCACGTCCCCCTCCCCGCCCCCGCCGCCCGCCCTGGCTCTCACCAGCTCGATGCACCAGCCGACGGCCAGGGCGCACCGGAGGCTCTCGGGGTCGCGCTGCCCGGGTCCCGCCAGCTGCCGGAAGGCGGCCAGCACCGTCAGTCCGCGGTTGCATTTCCCGCCCGGCGCGTTGTACTCCAGCACCTGCGGGCAGCGGGGGGCGGGCAGCGGGGGCGGCGGGCAGCGCCGGGCCCGGCACCCCCCCCCCCCCCCCCCCCCCCCCCCCCCCCCTCCCCCGCCCGTTTCTGTAATTACCTTGAACCATTCCTTCTGATTTAACGGATACACTGATTTCTAAAGGGAAGAATTAAGGATTTCTGTCCGTGACCTTGCAAAGGAGGAAAAGGATGAACTTGGAAGATCAGGAAGACACAGACTATGTCCTTTCCTAGACACAAGAAAC